TCAATGAGGACTCCCAGGTATTTCAGATATGGCTGAGAACGAATCTTGTGCTTACCAACTTTGAGAGTGATAGCCTCCATTTTCTTTCTACTATTGAAAAGGACCACCTCAGTCATGTGATCGGCAAGTTCTCAGGGTAACTCCTTCAATATACTTTGCCACTACCACCACTGCAACATTATCTGCGAAGTCTACAACTGTAGCTTCTTCTGGCAATGGTAGCAAAAAAATCCCGTCATACATGACGTTCCATAGGAAAGGTCTTATGACGGACTCTGTTGGACATTATATATCATTAGTCAGACGTCTTAGTCATAAAACAGAACTTGATCCCTGAAGTAGTCTAAAATCGCCCTCTTAGACTAGGAGCTACCGACCATTTCATTTCAGTGAAGGACTTACTGCTAGTAACCATTTTAAATTATTGATAAACCTCATCTAAACACACAACTTACGGATAGTCACTCGAAAGCCGTTACTTTTTGTACGAAAATTTAAATTAAAATGGCGAAATTTGACGTTTCCTTTAAAGGAAGAATAGACAGCTAAAAGTTTAATATGATGTAAATAATGGATCACCAACCTTTCCGTTCAGACTGCCTCACAAGCAACCCTATATGCCAGAAATAGCCAACTACGGAAAAGAAGAAAAAAAACTGCACCACAAGCACAAATTCAGAAATACTTATTTCTACTATGAAAAGTACGGTAAGTGAAAGTTGTGTGATCCACGCACCGTACCAGATTCTTAGAATTAGGATTTGATAAAAATTAAAGAACAAAATAAAGCACTGTTATGAAGTATATTAATATAAAGTTTTGTTTTTATTTCTTTAGTGACATAACATAAATTAGGAAGTCTATAATCGCTACTTGTAATAAATGTAATATGATGTAAGTACATTGACATCATTGTCGTTCAAATGGTGGTTTATTCCCATGGTTATAGAAAATCTTGGCATGGAAAAGCATTGGAAAATTATGGTGGCCACACTATTTGTATCATTCTTCTTCACATGATATCCAGTAATACAAAACTATTTTCGATGTGCGGTATTGTATCAACTAAGACATACATGATATTGTTCTTTATCTTTATAATGTGTTGCTTATAAAATAATAACTTTTAAAACCGAGCGTTATAATTGTCACTTCTTATTTGTATCAGGGATTTAGTTTCAATTGTGCTTTTTTATGTTTATGTGTTATTATTTTTTTTTTTCAAATTAAGGTTTTCGGCTAAAGTACCGATTTTGTGAGACTCATCGGCGTACGCATAGGAGAGGGTGTTGCTCTCCCTTCAATAATTTGAAAGAAAAAAAATAACAAAAGGTTTTTTCGAAAATATGAGAAAATCGATTTTTAAAATTTTACTTTTATGCATATATTGTATTTCCTAAAAATGTTTATTAATTGTGATAAACTTTTCCAAAAAAAAAATTCCTTGCCCCCCACTAACACGTATACTGCGTACGCCCTGGTAAGGCCACCAAATGAACCGCCATTATTCTGCACTCGGGAGGAGGCACCATTGAAGGCTTGCTTGTTGGCCTTGAGATATTTAAAGAACATTACACTGAAGCGGTAGGTTAGAATTATACTCACGAACCTGGTGCCAGAGACTCGAACTATCCTGAAGCTGAATGGAAACAACCTCCTGCTCACGAAGCACTGACATTGTTTATCGCTATCTCAACTCCCCTCCACAATCGAATTTCCGACCTATTCCAAAGGCCTAAAGAAGACTGGCTAAAGTTCAGGCAGCTGACCCACTACAAGCCATAAACGGATTCGGACACAGCCTGTTCAATGGAGAACTTAAGTTGTTTGTTTAAAATTAATCGATAAATACATTCATCCAATCACGTAGCGGTCCTTTATCTGCTCAATTACCTTCCAAGTCATCCCTGTTGGCTGCGCACCTGATGGATATGCCATAAAGACATTATACATTTTAAAATGTTTTAACTAAATGCAAGGATGTGTTTTTAAAAATAATATGGTTATTGATTGACATTAATTGAATATAAATCTTTGTTGAAAAATAAATTATTTAAAAAAAACTGAAATATGTGCTTTAGAATAAGAAATATAAATTTGTTATTGTTCTAAATTCATAAAGTAATAATATATACAATTATAGTTGTGTATAAACTATTTTTTTGTTCTATATTCACAAAGTATTAACATTTACAATATATATAATTATAATTAGAGACCGGGATTATAATTATAATTTCTTCTTACAATAAGAATCCAACAAACATGCAGAAAAAATTCAAAATCTGAAAAGCAAGCAATAAAAACCCAAAATATGTAAAATTGCTTAATTTACACCTGAAAACTTGCAAAAATCATCAATTTTGTTTAATTTATAATATTAATATATCAAAGTCCTATCAAAGTATTACGTTAAGCTTCTGAATTAAAATGTGCCACAAAAAATTAAAATGGAACATTGAAAATTAAAATCCATATAACAGTCAACTGACGAGAACAATACCTAATCTAATGCAACAATAAATTTCAATTAACCTAAATCTTGAAGAGAAATTTAAATAAAAAATAGGAATAACATAAACAATAGAAAATTTAAAGATAATTCACGAAACAAAACTCCCTAAGGTCTCAATAATTTACTGACAAATAATTAAATATATATCTTTAAATTTCCCTTCAATCGGTTAATTGACTGGCACAAACAAGGAATGCAGTAATATAGGAGAACTTAATCAGATAATTTAATGCGTCCAGATCTACTGGAACTGAATAAAAATTAAGCCCGGGGAAAATCCGTATTTTTTTGTGCTCGAATAAAAGGTTTTTCGAAAGAATAAATAAATTTCATTTTGTTTTTTAATAAATTTTCCTCCATCATGCATTTATTTCACCTGCGAGTTCGGAGTCAATAGCACAAGCTTCACGCCGGCGGCCACATAACTACATCCCCTTTTCTTTAAATACGTGTTTTTTTGTCCATTTTTTAATGATTTTTTTTTACTCATTATCTAAGGGTGGGCACGCCCCCTGGCAGAATTCGCTAGTGGAGGTCACGATAGTAATTTTGTTTAATATTACTTTAGGAAATCCGTGAATGAGAATGAATTTTCCCTACATTTCTCTTTTTTTAAATAGTTATTTTTTTTGGAATTTTTTTCCACCATTCAGGGGAGGGCGCACCGCCTGGCCGAATTCGCTTGTACTGGTAACTATTACATTTTTTTATATATATATTAATATTGAGGAAGAACAGAAAACTGATATTTTTTTAGTTTTTTTAGAATATCTCAGTTTTTTGCAGAGATAGTTCAGTATTCAAAGTACTTTAAAATCGATATGAAAATGGCGCTATACATTTTTTTGATAAAACCAATGGTTACGGATATATTTATGAAATTATATTTATTGCATTTACAGCTCTTTGAAGAAACTAGAAGAGTGGGAGAGGAAGAGGAAGATGCCGAGAGGTACCTTCAATACCTTGAATATGATGGGATTGTGTGGGAAGAAGAAGTGGAAGCAGCTGTGGAAAGACTCCAAACAGGAAAATCAACAGGGAGAGATGGCATTGCTCCTGAATTCATAAAATATGGATGGGAAAGTATAATAGGGGTACCTCAAGCTCTATTTCAAAAAGTTTACGAAAAGAAAAGGATTGGGAATATAATATAATTATACTCTTATTCAAGAAAGGGAGTCAGAGCGAATGCCAAAACAGGCCTACATGTTTGTCCCAGGTTGTATACAAACTGTATAAATCGATTCTTAACAGAATATTGAGAGGTTTGGTAGAAAATCAATTGGAAGGAGAACAGACAGTCAACACAAACCCAAGACCACATCTTTGCTCTAAGGACAATTTAAAAAAAAGCGTAGAAAAGTGACAGAAATATGTATTTAGCCTTTTTAGATATAAAAGCAGCTTTTGATTAGGTGCCAAGGAAAGAAATATGGTTAAAGATCAAGGTTCCTGGTTTGAATTTGGCTGATGGCAGGTAATTGTTAATTCTGTTTCATCGACCAGGGTCGACCATAGGTGCAGAGAACTCTACTGGTGCACACCAGTCTTTATTAAGTGGGTACTCTTACTCAGGGGTGCCCATCCTCCCCAAGAAGATAGAACTTGCTCCCAAGATATTTTAAATAGTGTCACTTCCACCTAAAGCATTTCATCCCACAGAAAATACTTATTTCTGCTAAGAAGAAAGTATTAAGTGAAAGTTTTGTGATGCCTGCAGGCTTAGTATAGTAGGATAATGATAAAAAAAAAAAAAAAAATCAGGAATAATTTAGGATTTTTTAAAAAACAGCATTTAGCTTAGCCACTCAAAAACCCTCTTTAAATGCCTTTAACAATGTCATATTCTATTTGTATTTAAAGTACATTTTGTCCAGTTGACATTGAAGCAATTTTCAATTAGCCAAATTAAATAGTTTTTTAGTTATTCCTGCCTATTCAACAAAAACATGACGTACTAAACCAAACACAAAACCCCTACATTTCTGCTAAGAATTGGCCAACCGTTTATATGAAATTGTTTGTAGTTCTTGAAGTCTCCAACACCTTTGAAAATTTTCCTCTACCTGTGTATATCTTCAAATAATATTCTGTCTTTAAATAACTATTTCTCAATTAAACTGTTATAGCTTTTTACCTTTCATTTGTCATGAAAGAACATCAGTTTGGTACCAAAGTTTTGATTATATTCCTGCATATAAATTATTCATATTTATTTATCATGTAATAAAAACATATAAAATTTATTTATGTTTTATTTCAACTCATTTTTTTAAGAATATAAAAAAAATGTATATCTAACAACTTAATCTAGTGAGGGGTGTTATCGATACTAACTAAAAAAAATAAAATGCTCATAAAAAGTTTTGATTATATTCTCACAAATAAATTACTTACATCTATAATGAATAAATATAAAATCTATGATAATCTAAATGAAATAAATGTATTTTCCATGTCAGCAGGGATGCACAGGAATTTTTTAAGATGAAGATTGAGGGACTAATTTCAGTTCTATTGGATCCTTTGGCATCGTTAGCATCGAAGAAGGACCTATTACTAAAGGTATCTTGGTTGCTCCACAAGGCTCTACTCGACAATTCCTTAGTAGGGTGATAAGACCTACTTTAGTTTGAAGTTTTCCAAATCTCATACCTGCGCAAGTAATGTTATTTAACTTGTTTGTTATAACTGTATTTAGTTTTATAGTTTATTTACTAAACTTACCTATACACATCCTAGGCCCTTCTCCAAAAGGTAGATAAGTGTACGGATTGATTGACTCTATATTTTGTGATGAAAATCGCTCTGGATCGAATTTCTCAGGATTTGGGTAATACTCAGGATCATGGTGTAAAGACCAAACAGGAATTATAATAGTGTCACCTGCCTCTATTTTATAACCATATGGAGTTGTAATAGATTTTGAGCAATACCTCATTAATATTGGTAAGGTAGGATACTTTCTCATTGTTTCTGAAAAAAAAAACTGTTTTTAATTTATTGATTTATTAATAATTTAATTATAAAAACCTTAGAATCTTGATTTAGAAACTAGTGACTATTGCATTATCAAATATTGTAAAAAAGAGTTACCATTTTACCAAACAGTACATTGTGAATATTAGAGTTAATACCTAAATTCGGCAGTACCATTTCTTGTTCTATAGCCTCCATTTGGTGACCTACCATCCAGTATGATTCTTCCTAGGAGCATACCTAGAGAAGGAAGGGGAAGGGCGGAGTAGGAAGACAGCCCTGTTGAGACTCTAAGGGTTGACTAACTTTTTAAAGGGAGGACCTTATATTGGTAAGAGGGGTCTGATATCATAGTATCATATTATGGTTTATGTTTTTTTTCTTAATTGAATGATAGATTTTACTGAAAGAACATTTCATTAATATTTTTTTTAATTATGGGAGGAAATTATTGTTTTTATTAAAACAATTGTCATTATTTTATTTTTACTTTAGGGACCTCAAATGGTATTGGTGCTACACTTATCTTACCTTTGATGTCCAATCATTTTTTTAATAGTATTGTTACTCAATTTATTTATTTAATATGATCATCTATATGGTCTTGGATGAGAAAAATTCATATAGGTAGGTCATTTTTTTTTTTTTTAGGTCAAACATATTTTTAAAATATGTTTCTATGTCACATAGAAATAATATTGTGGAGGTGGCTACACTAGGATTAAGGAATACAGTTGTGGGACACCTCAATACTCAGGGCCCTTGTTTGATTTGGTACGAATTATTAAAAGATTGAGCACCTCTGAATTAAATAGAGACAATCTTTAACTTCATGAGATGATGAAAATGACGGCATAAAGTCATGTAAAATTGGGTAGTTTAATAAACATTATTTTACTTGGCCATCAAATAAATTTATAATTAGAACAGTTTATTTTCTACTTCATTACATGAAGATATGAAGGCAGAGTACATTGTTGTAAGAGCACCAGAATACCTGCTTCGAAATTATGTGGTTTCGATTCCCATCTGGGTCTGTCAGTACCTATTTTTTGGCAGCCCACAGTGTAGTTTGTATGGTGTGTCAACCACTAGTTAGTTGTTAGGAGTTGGCAAAAAAAAAAAAAACATATTTATGTTTGTTTGTTTCGTATTGCATCAATGATTCTGAGGATAATAATATTTTTTTCTTTCTTACTTAACTTACTGATAATGGAACTAAATTTCTATGAACAATCCTTTTAAAATCACTTTAGTGGTCTTGTAAGAAGGATCAGTGAAAAGTTATATGCTTTTAATTTACCTGAAATGACCATATCTAAGTACTCCATTTCTTTCACAGCTTGATATGTTAGTCCTCCATGTTTCTCAATTATTTCATTAATTTCCTTCTTTACTCTAGCTTGAATATCTTGGTTGATTGCTAATTCATAGAGGCAAAAACTCTGTACAGAACTTGAAGTTTCAAAACCAGCAAACAAGAAAACAAAGCACTGTGCAGCCATCAAACCGTTATTAAATTCTGAAAGGATCAATGTTAATACTTGTTAAAAGAAATGATAATTTTTTTTTCTACATTATCTTCCAATAGCAAATTAAGTGTAAGAATTTTTATTGATTTTAATTAATAATTCTAATTCAGGCTATGTTATAAGTATATATTACTATAGCTAAAAACTTTCCAAGGAACTTAGTGGAGGCTATTAAATCCATTTACTAACACTTAAAGGGAGTTGTTGCGTTTAACGGGTTGGAGTCACTTTAACATAACAATGGGGGTCTAACAAGAAAATAGTATAAGCCCATTGCTATTTATAATTTATATAGATGAAGTGACAGCCATCTGCAAAATAAGAACAGAGAGAATGATTATGAGGAGAAGAAACCCTAGTTCGGTGGTGATTTAGCTCCTCCTATGTGCTGATGATGTTTTTGTCGCCCCATTGAAGGAGGTTCTGCAAACCTGTGAATTGAAATGGTTCATCCATGTAGTTAGGATGGAGGATCATAGGGACCCATTAAAAATGGTAGACTATGTTCGGGATGCCCAAGAATTTCTTATCTGGAATACATCAATAGGCTTAGCTGTGGAAGAGGCAAAGATGCCAGGCTAGGAATCTAGCAGAATAGCTTAGAGGCACAAACGGAAGAAGCAGAAAAAGAAAAGAGGATTTTATTACAAATTCATATTTAAGAGTTTGAAAGGATGCAAACAAAGAATCTAAACTACTTTGCCATGAAAAAATTATGACCTACTTTACTGTTAGAGTCTTGGTTTTGGAATTTTATTATACATTGAAATTCATTTAATACAAATAACAATATTTTTCTTGTTTTAGACAACACAAATTACTTGATATATTATAGCCTGTAAATCCACCCTGAACAAAGACAGAAAAAATAATACAAACAAATGTAAATAAATATAAGTACAAATAGATTAATTTTAATATTTATTACACTTTTACCAAATGGTTGACATTTTTGTTCTTCTATCTCATCTCTCATGTCTTCTCCAAGTGTCCCTTTATTCTTAAGCTCAATTAATAAATCTAGGAAATCGTTTCTTTTAATATTATTCTTTTCTCTGTACTCCAATGTGTTTTCTACAAGATTTACAATATAGTCCTCAAGCTCTTGAGGAGTGAACCTTAAACATAACAAACCACTAAAGATAATTTTCTATTAATTAAAATATAACTAATGAAATTGGTTATAAAAATTAAGTTTTTAAATAAGCTGGATGTAAATGCAGTTTAGCAATGTATAACATCCTTTCTATTTTTATTTTATATAACAAAAAATTATCTAGATTTACTTCAAAAGCTACTGGATTAGAATACCTGGCTTTAAATTTGCTGGCAACTTGTGGCATAGCTTGCATGATTGCTATTATCACTTTATCAATAAACCCCATTTTAGAAAGTTGGGCTGGGATTTGCCTTAGCTTATGATCTGGCTCATTTATTGTGTTAGTATCAAGTCCAAAAGCACAGCTGCAAATAATATCTGTCATAAGTCGACCTACTATATCTTTGATGTCTACATCACTACCAATTTTTGACACAACCAAAGACTCAAAGGCCTGTATAAAAATATTACAAAAAAAAAAAAAGTATAAGATAGATTGTAAAAGTTTACAATTTACAAATGTAGAAATGTAAGTATAATTTACATTTTTAATTATATTAATTAATCTAATTATATTAATTTTCAAATAATTAATATAAGAGAATAAAATTGATAAAGCAATTTTCTAGTAGTAAGTAGGATATTACTAATTACTTAAATCGTTTAATTTATTATGCTAAGTTCCTAGTACTGGTGGTAAGAAATCCTCAGTTAAGTGAGCCTTGTGGTCCTTTTAGCCAAACCCTCAAGGGTACCTTGAGGTTTCCACCACATGCTCACCAGAGTGGTTGTGTCAAGATTCATTTCCCCAGAGCCAGGAAGAAATATATAAGGAGGATATTAAAGTAATGTTGTTTTCTTACATCGAACTCAAATACATAAATTTTTAACGAGATTTTATTTGTAATCAATAATTTAATCACCCTCGTTATCAACAACCTTTTGCCATCTAGTATGCAAATTTTTCCAAAAGTTATGCAAATGCAAATGCCAGATCAATAAAAATCAATTTGTTTTTGAGCGAAATATAAAGAGATGGCATTTCGGATATGATTCAAATATGCAAATATTTTTCCAGTTAAAAAGTGTTGAAGCGATCGGAATAAATTGAAATCAGATAGTGCAACATCGCGCGAGTGTAGTGGGTAAGACGCTAACTTCCATTTCAATTTATTAATTTTTTCCAGAGTTCATCTTGCGCAGTGCGGTCTTTCATTTTCGTGTTGCAGAATAAAGCTTTTTCGATTGACAATCGAGGGCCACTTTTCGGTTAAAGAATCATTTACACGATACAATTGTTCACAGAAAAGGTCCGTATTCACAGCTTGTCCAGTTATCATCACTACAAAATAAAAAACGCCGCAAATACTCCATCATACACCCATATAAGCCTTTTGGTCCCCAGGGGGTGTAAACATGTCTTAGCAGTATTTTGTGGCAATTTATTTGGAAAGAGCCACTGCCTTTTGCGTTTATCAAAGAGGGCCCATTTTTCATATCCAATGATCAAGCAATTAAAAACGCGTCTGTATTAAGCCGTTGAAGCAATAAGAAGAAAAATAAATTTTACTCTGGGAGTAAGTTCCCTTAGAATAACTACAATGTACAATTTAATGACAATTGTCTATCATTAGAAATAATTAGGAATAAATTAAATTACAAGGTTATCTAGATCTAAAATAAAAATAAAGAAGTGGCACTATGAAATTATTGATAAATTCAGATGTGCGAGTTCATATATTTGTGAACATTAATAATGTGGATGATATATAATTATCTGTAGGATAACATTAAATGCGACTAACAGGTCTGAAAAAAGTGACCATTATTTTACACATATTCGGAAGATTGATTGCTGAGGAGATGGATAGATAAATTATGTTTAAATGAGGTAAAAGATTGGCAAGCACGTATGACAAAGGATTTTTTTATAGAAAACAGTTCTATGAGAAGGAATAAACAGGTTTGAGGGCTTGATTCTCGTGTTGAACGAATGGACAGAGGAATGAGGAGTAAATAAATCGAGAAGATAAGAGGATTTTTTGGTTGAAAAAGGAATACATTTACATACATACAGTATTGCCACCGGAAGACTGGATAGAGGCATTTCAACTCGGCATACCAACTGGAGACGTTTGAGCGCCTGGGGACTCCAAAAATAAATCTAATGAAATAATTCATTAGTCTCTTTAATCCGGTCTGAAGCCCACCAGACAGTCCACCGTATACAAGGCAGCCATAATCGAAATGGAAAAGGAAAATGAGTGAAGAAACAAGTAGCTGACAGATTTGAAGGGACATGGAATCACGAAATCTTAAAAACTGTTTGAGGATAGCAATCTATTTTCGGATTATTTGGGAAATATGATTATTCCAGGACATGCATTGATCAAACAAGATTTCTAACGGAAGTGTGGGAACGGATTATTGATAACATTAGTTTAATATAAAAATATACCTCAGCACAGTTGACGAAGAGCGGGAACATGGCTTTCATTTTCCCACTTGTAAATGTTGGGGTGAGTTTCACACGTAAGGCTCTCCACCTTTCGCCATCAAGATTGAACAGATGTTGATTGAGAATATCTTTTTCACTTCTAAATATAAACAAAAAACATAACATGGTGTTATGTAATGTAACCAATCCATTTATTAATTGTAATTATTTTTTTTAAAACAGCCCTTTACAAGAGTTCACAAAAAAAAAACTATAAATTGTGCAAATATATTATAACTATTATTAACAGTCATATTGATGGTTTCAATATTTTCAACTTAATTTTCCATATTTATTACAACTTACAATTTAATAAACATCCTGTCTCGAAAATGTGAAAATTCCTTTGTAAGTACAAATCGAATAAGCTCCGGATCTCTGATTTGCAACATTGGTACTCTAACGACAAAAAATCCAAACATTGGATTAGGCGCTAACTTTTTGTACATCTGAAATAAAATCCATATTATTGTGCGTTGAATTTTCAAATTAGCATTTTAACTTCTAATCTTTCTAGCTCACTTTAGCAGAAGTAAATTATAAAAATCATACCTCATCATGGATGTCGCCTAGAAATTTTGATTGGGCCAGAATTTCATAAGAGCAACCATATGGGAACTTAGAGGGGTAATAAGGAATGCCCCTCTTCTTGAAGAGGTCGTAAACAGAAATATAATATTTATACAGAAGCCACCCTGCCAGAAGTGACAGTGCGATTGCTAACCACATTATTTGTAATACACCTAAAAAATAGAGTAAATAAATAAATGATTTTATAATTAAATATATCACATTATTCTACTAAGATTTTAAATAATGAACATTACATATTTCACATAGCAATTAGGCCTATTAGGTATAATTTTTTAACTTCTGAATTATAATTAACATAAAATACAGATAACATTACATGTAGGTATTGTTTGATAATTAGTGTTCGCAAAGTGGCAGATCATAACCATTATTTAACATGGTTGTTTTTTTTGACTAAAGTTTTAGTGGTCAATTTAAATAATAGAAGGCCGAAAACATATCTCAGCAGCCCTTGCTTCCTCACCACGGATCAGTTGAGGTCCCCCGAATCAAAATAACTAAGTCTTGCAAAATGGAATGAGAATATGGTATGTTTGTGAACAGTCTAGCTCAACACTGAAAGGTCCATGAAAATAGAGTTTCGATAGATATGCAAAATATATCAGTAGAAAGACAAAGATTTTAGACAAATTTAAAAGCAACATGTAAAGTCATAGAAAGTTGAATGGAGATTAACGAAAAAATTATGAATAATCATTTCTGGAAATTAATTTCACGGAAGATGTTCCATGCAAACCAAAGAAAAGTTTTAAACTAATTAGAAACATAGACAACTAATTTTAACCTTGGCGATTAAAAATATATATTACTTTGATTTTTCATTCTGCAATTGTTTGAAAACTATTTTGAGATACTTTAGTGACGAAATACATGAGAGAATGGAAGCCGCTGAAAAAATTGCAAACAATGTATACGCATTGAAAAAAATATGGCAATATAACTATCTAGTAAACAATGCTGTGGTATGAAGGATGGGCGTAATCATAATCAAACGATTATAATAAAAAAAGAACACGACAGTAATCGCGTAATCATGTATCATAAATATGTAATTATAATCATTGTAATAAAAATCACTGTAATCATAACGACAAAATCAAATACACACAATTTCCATCTGTAGAAAGGAAACATATTTTCTAATTTTTCATTGGCTTTTCTCCTTATATTTCGTGGAAGGTCGAATTTAGTTTCACAGTTCAAACGACTTTTCTTGAGTAGATGGTAGATTCACACATACACGAAACCCGATCATCAGTTCAGGAGATATAATCGAAAAAGTGAATGAAACCTTTGATAATTTTTGCACTCCTTTTTCTTTTAACATACCTCTAAACTGTTGAGAAATCGTTCGAATCTCGAAAAATTATACATTTTATCTTTTATCTTTCATAAGGAAAAAGTAAAAGTGAATGAAAAGCCAGAAAATTTTCACAATCGTTTTTCTTTTTCTATACGTCTTAACTGTCGGAAAATCGTTGGAATCGCTTAAAGTCCATTCAACCCCATTAGAAAGAAAAGCGAATGGAAATTTGTAATATATAAATATAAATATAAGCTAGTTTTTCTTTTACCCTAAACTATCACAACGTTATTTCAACCGCGATTATCCTTCATCCATTTTTTATAAAAATATAAATGAGAAGTTGGAAAAGTTCACTTTATATTTCCTTTTAGCCTACCTTTAAATAGTCTGAAAAAATCGTTAAAGCTTAATCAATAGATGTTTGGCATGAGATACTTATCACATTTGTGTTAAGTTTTAAAAATTAACATATTTCTAGTTATGATAGTCTACGATCAACTAGAAAGCTATTGATAAGGTTAATGGAAGAGCATAGTTCTGTGGCCGCTTAGGCACATCGGATATTATAGAAAATATTCCTTTGGATATTTTTAATAAATCGAAAAAAATATACATTTATTCTATGGATTCAGCAATATATGTCTGTATTCTTAGTAAGTGAATGGACAATAAATCAATGTTCTTCATCATCCGGTCTGGACTGAGAACAATAATGGATTAGTATAAGTTTAGGAACAGCTGTGTCTTATTGCTTAACTACTAAAGTAGAGGCACATTTTCTAGTGGGCAACTTAATCATTTATTAAATAAATGATTATTTTAACAGTTGTGGTAAAGTAGGAAACTTCATTAATTTTGTGTGTGTTGAATAGACTGCAATGATACAAGTTTTTTAAAAATTTCAATACAAAAGAAATATCATGGTTAATGTATTTATGTATTTATGAAGAAAACCAAGGTTGAAAAAAAAATTTAAAATAGAATTGAATTTAAGTTAATGTCTGGTGATTCTATTGCAACTATATGTATATATATATATATATATACTTATAAATATATTTAGCAAAAATGTATGCAGTGATAGGATTCAGTTCCTATTTCATATTCCCATTCATTGATATATATATTTCTGTTCGAAGTTCGATACTTAGTTGGACTACTTGGTAAACAGAGTGACAATTGCCCTAAATGGTCTTAGTCGTGTCTTAGATACCCAGCGACCAAGGCTATCTACAAAGTAATGGTGCTGGGTATATTATGAGTATATATTTGGGTGCATCCCCCTCATGGTACCTGAACCTTCCCAAGCGAAAGAAAAACAAGTTAGCATCTATCCAGAGGACGGCTCTGCTGCGGGTCCCCAGAGCATATAAGACAGTATCTCACGAGGCAGTGCAGATCTTAGCAGGGGAGATACCTCTCGATCTTCTCCTGCAAGAAGACTTGATGAAATATGCCTATAGGAGAGAAGGCTTGGCAGGGATTCCGGAGGACCATCGAGTGAGGATTGAGGAACGGCCCAATAGATGGAAATCAATATTAAGAGAAGCTATCGTCGAAGAGTAGAATAAGCGGTGGATAACTACCACTATGGTATCCACCCTGACCTCAAACCTACAATCCATATTAGAAATCCACGCTCCTCTGAAAACCAAAACCTTACGCCGTCCCACTGCACCTTGGCTGACCCGTGAGATAAAGGAAATGATGAGGGGAAGAGATGCAGCAAGGCGCAAATACCGTCGAACCCGTCTAGCTGTGGATTATGCGTCTTTCAAGGCGCTTCGCAATGGAACCCATTCCGCAGTTCGTCTTGCTAAAACTACCTACTTCTATAATTCCCTGTCCAATGCTCCCGACTCCAAATCTAAATGGAAAATACTCCGAAACCTATTCCTACCAGAGTCCATTAATCGTAGTTCCTTCTATCTTTCTCCAGATGATCTCAATAACCATTTCTTATCCTTTACTCACTCTTCCTCTCATACTTTCGATATTAAACACCACAAATTCAATCCTGAAGACTTCTTTTTCTCCCACGTGTCCTATGATGAATTACTTTCCACTATCCTAAAATCCCACACCAATGATTATGGTCCCGACAATATTCCTGTAAAACTAATAAAATCCAGCCTTCCTGACCTTATTCCTGTTCTTTATCATATCTACAATTTTTCATTGCAGAACTCCATATTCTCATCCTCCTGGAAAACCGCCCTAGTCCGACCTTTGAATAAAATTGCCAATCCTACCTCACTGCACGACTTCCGTCCTATTTCTCTCCTATCCAACCTCTCAAAGCCCGTAGAACGTCTTGTCCAAAATCAGCTCTCAAATTTCCTAGAGGAAAGTTCCTCTATCAACCCATTCCAATCTGGCTTCCGACCGGGGCTATTCAACGCAATCTGCTCTCCTTAAAATAACCCATGACCTACAAAACTACATTGAACAACAAAACCTTACTATCGTCATCCTTCAAGATTTGTCCAAAGCGTTTGATACAGTTGACCATAACATCCTTCTTACCAAATTGCAAAATCTTCCTCTATCCAACAGTGTCCTGCGTTGGTTCAAATCCTTCCTTTCCAATCGATCCCAGTATGTAGTAGTCCCTGATCAACCTCTCTCAAACACACTTCCCCTCTCTTGTGGTGTCCCTCAGGGTTCCTCTCTCTCTCCTACTCTGTTTGCTATCTACATCAATGACCTTCCCCTCCAGATCCGTCACTCCCAATACCACACATCCAGCAGATGATTTTCAAATATACCTTTCCTTTCCCCCCTCTGACCTATTATCTGCCACAGAAAAACTTCAAGAAGACTTAGATGGAATTTGTGACTGGGCAAGAACAAACAAGTTGAAGTTGAATGCGGATAAGACAAAGGCAATCTTAGTAGGCTCCAATCACCTCCTTAAAATTGTCCCTAATATTCCAACTCTGTTCCTACACAATAATCCATCAAATTTCACCCCACCATCTTGGAATATCCATTTATCAAACGCTTTCTTGGAAAAATCATATATCCAATATTTCCCGCCGTACCATTTCCATCCTAAAACGTCTTAATTACCCCCGTCACCTGTTTCCTTTTGAAACCCGTAGGCTCCTAGTCACTTCCTTAATTTTTCCCCACTTTGACAATTGGTGTACGGTATATGGGGGCCTCTCTGGGGATCTCGAGGCAAAACTAAAACGTTTGATAAATTGCTTTGTACGATTCATCTTCGGGATCCCAAGGGACGCCTCTGTTTCCCATCTTTACGCGGAGTTAAAGTGGCTTTATCCTCCCTACCGTCGTAAGTATTTCCCGGCATCCTTCCTCTTTCAAGTCATCCAATCCCACCGTCCCTCATACATCTCCGAGCTCCTTCAATTCAAATTCTCTGTTCGTTCCCGCAATACTCGTTCGCTTTCGACAAATCGTTCATTATCCGATCCTCATCTCTATGGAACTCCATCCCTTCTCATATCCGTCAATCTAATACCCTTCCTACCTTTAAATCCCGCCTGTTCAACCATTTCTTATCCATCCAGTCCCCATAAAATCGTAAATAGATACTACTGAAAATATGTACATGAATTATTAGTTTGTTCTTCATTATTTGTACTCCAATTTTTGTTTATCTATTTTTTTTATTATCAACTGATCAAAATTGGAAAGCAACTTATATGTATGTGTATATATATATATATATATATAATATATATATATATATATATATATATATATTTTTTTTTTTTTTTTTTTTTTCACCAAGACTGTTCAATTACTCTGTATTTTCATTTATGTATCTCTGAGGCTCCTTAGCCCTCATTTCTGTCTTCCTGTATTATTCTAAAGGGACTCGTCCCAGAATAAATAAAGTATTATTATTATTATTACTAAGGGGGCTACCCTAAGCAAGTATTTTCCCACCGTACAGTCTCGACCACCAGCCAGATGGATCAAACCAGACTAATGGGTATCTCAATTTCTCAACGAACATGGAGGTTTTTGTGCCAAGTTACACAGTCTTGGACAAGACATCGATCCCCTATGCTCCAGTAGTGGTATTCCGGAAACTGCCAAGCGTGTGATCACCAACTGCACTGCGTTTGATTCACTGAGGGCCAAGCTAATGAGGAGCACAAGTATCTACAGAATCAACGAGGGGGATTTGCCTCTTCGCATTGCTGCAGATTACTACCCATACTACGAAGCATTCGTGTATGGGTGGAAGGAACGAATAGGCGCAGCCCATTTCAATATGGGAGTTAGACAAGGACTTCCACGGTCTCAATCTGGGGTTGCTCCAAGATAGAAATGCAGCAAGAAAAGTGTTAAATTTACTATTGCTTAAAAAAAACGGAATCCCGTATTGTCAAAAAGACAAGGAAGGAAAAAAGAAATAAAAAATTAAAAAGTTCGATACTTACATATTTGTTCCTTGTAACTCACTATCACAATAATACAAAGTAACAATTATTGAAACTATTAGAAATGCACAACTATAGAAGTTTTCTCGAATTTTATTATTTAGAAGGCTCAACAAGGTTCGTTGATACTTCAGCGTTTAATAAACTAGGAAAGGAGGCACTAATAGTGTATCAAATGGTCAGATTTGAAAAACAACGATCAAGATCAAGCCTGCCAGAAACAAACAGAGAAAGAGAAAATATATAGTATATGCGTATTTTAAGTAAGGTATCTACTTAAAAGAAAATATGCAGATGAATTCGACAAAAGACAATTCTCAGTTAAACGGCTATGGTTCGGAAGTAGGGGAACCATTCCTCTTAATACAAGTAATTTCATCCTAAGGTTCAATGTTGGAAGGGATTAGACGAAGGCAATGGCAGAAAATATTATTTTGGACTCGTTGGAAATCTGCCATCACAACATATATTAATCTTTTCCTTCGCTGATTCGATTTTGTACAATTGTTTACATGTTTCTGTACATATTACAATTGTCTCATATCTTTTGTTTTTGTTTTTAAATAATAGCTGTTGCCCCATGACTAGGTATACGGTAATATGAGTCAGCAACTCAACACACTTGAGCAGCCGTGCAGTATTATTGTAGTTCTCTCGTTATCTGTGTGTTATTTTCAGATAATACGGTTTCCGAATTTTGTCGAGCCCGGTCGATCATATTTTCTATATGATTCCATTCCGTATGAAATTAAATCTTATGTACATTACTGATTGCCCTAATTAAGATTATACAAAGAAAATTAAATTACTTATTTAAATAATATTTGTTACATAAAATGGGTTAAATATAAATAGGAAAGCATTTTTTAAAAGATCAGATAATAATGAATGATCTCATCAGACAAGAGTTTGATAAAAGGTACTTATAAAGTGAGTGTTTTTATTGCCAATTTCTTAAATATTAAATTTTTAAATTATAATTGTTGTATCATGGTTGATAAATATTCAGTCTTTTTAAAAAATATATATATATTTTTTATTTGTATCAACGTTTGAACCCAAACATGTGAGCCATCTTTAGGGCGTGGTTTGGTTTGAGCATTTCAGTACTTGAACACCCTCAGTTCTCAAACCACGCCCTGAAGATGACCCACATGTTTGGGTTGAAACGTTGGCACAAATGAAAACTTAAAAGTTTTTTGTTTTAAATATTCTGCGTGAATATTTATCATCCACGATATGTAGAAGTCGACTAGCTTCCTTCTATAATTGGTGTATTCATTTATTGTTGGAATTTATTCATTTTTAAAACAAGAGTATAAAAATAAAGTCCAGTGGTGAATTATTTTAAAATAATATTCTGTTTTTATTAATTATTTAATATCGTAGTGAATATTGTTCAGTTTTTGGCTAGATATGATTTTGTTCATAATTATTATTCTTAAGGGACCTTGTCCCAGAACATTATGGATCATACAAGACACCCAAACGAATCAAAACTGTTATTCTACAATGGTAGAATAGTCAGACAGCTTGCTTGCCTTTGAAATTTGTTTAGAACATGAAACTAATAGTTTCATAAAAATAGGTTAGAATTATACTCACGTACGTGTCGTCAAAGATAAGAACGATTCAGTAGCTAAATGGGAAGAAGCGTCATGGCCGCCCAGCACTGACATTATTTATTACTATCTCAACTCCCCTCCACACTTCATTAAATCTTCGACCGATTCCAAAGGTCAAACAAGGTCAACAGAAGGTCCATCTCTTTATCCTCTCCACTACCTCTGACGTTATTTTTTAATGCAGCAGACCAGACACCTGCCTAAAGGCTTGAACCACTACAAACCCTATACAGATTCAGACAACTCAGCGCAGCCTGTCTGTGGAACTTAAGTTGTTTAAAATTAAGCCATAAACACATTAAAAAGTTTTAAATATCCTAACTGAATGCAAGGATTTTTATTAAAAATAATTTCTATATTGACTGACATCAATTGAATAATTGATTAATTATCTTAGAAAAATACATTATAAACAAAAGATATAAATAAACAATTTATCAGAAAAATAAATTTTTAAAAATTAATGGATGTAATAATTGTTTCTTCATGAAGCTCAATTAAATCCCTTCAACTAAAATCTATTACTATATCACAGCGAACGAACTATTTCCAAAACTCTCGAATGGCGTGTTTCTGTGTACTTTCCAGCCATTTGAAAAACTTTGACACTGGAGTCTTCTCTTTGAACACAAAACTGTACTACCTCACACATATTCACTAGTCACTCATTATAGTATTACATCATTCATTCTCTAGTCTTTTTTCTTCGACAGATTTTTTCTGTGTTCGACAGGGCTTAGAAACATCCTCAATTCGACCAATATCAGGAGTACCTCAAGGACCAACACTAGCTCCGTTACTGTACAATTAAATATATGCATGACATGCTTAACAACTCCGAAATATTGACTACTAGCTATGCTGACGATACAGAAATTTTAACAAAACACCATTATCCTAGATAAGCCTCACTGAATTTATAAAATCACTGGCTACACTTAGAAAACTGGTACTTATTTTGAAAATAAGATTAAATCATGACAAATCGCAACACGTAACATTTACACTTCAACGAGATACATGCCCACCAGTTTATATCGGCGACAACCGAATTCCTCAGACGGACATAGTACGCTAACTCGGATTAACATTCGAAAGAAAAAATGACCTAGGGACCAATACAATTAAAATAAAACGAAAGATTTTAAACAAACGACTTGAAAATACTATACTACTAAAATACTATATTTTTTCCAAATCAAACTTGCAAATAAGACAAAAAATAAAAACAATCACATACCTGATTAAACCCATTTGAACACACGGGCGGATCTACGGGGGGGGCTTTCGGGCTGAAGCCTCTCCAAAATGGTACAATATAACCATGTTTTATCGGAAAAAATACTAAAAAATTATCTCTTAAAGTATAATTATTCGTGTAATTACATTTAAAAGGGCTTTCGGAATCACTTAAAGACCAGTTCGTATAGGTACTTAGTTTCTTTCGTATTTTCCAAAGTAATTATCGTTACTTTTATGAAAAAAAAAGCTTTCGGGCTGAAGCCCCTCCAAAATTAAATCCTGGATCCGCTAGTGTTTGAACATATGCCTCATATATATATATATATATATATATATATATATATATATATATATATATATATATATATATATATACGTTTGAACAAAGAAGACTCATTAATAACAGTAGCTTCAAAGTACGTAAACAACAAAACTTTACATGACGAGAAGCAACACTCTTTACACACGATTTCGTGTTAAACTACAAGAGCACAACAACAGACCTATAACCGACATGTCTACCGTTGACATGCACATAAGGAGGAGACTGAAAATGAAAAATCTCCTTTCCTGATTTAAGAAAGGAATCAAACATCATGAAGAGGTACCGCTGAGTCCTATCCTCCCTCATGCCTGCAGTGTCTTTAGATCCAAACACACAAGCAGTGGTGCGCACAACACACTTTCACTTACTTATCTATTTTGAATAGAAATTACAGCTTACTACCAATCTTGGGCAATTATAAAATTTTTGAAGTGCACATTTAACGGAGCTTTATCTTAAAGCTTACAACTAACAAATCGTTAAGACCACTAAAATTACAACAATTATATTTATTTAAAACCCTGCCGTGCCTTGTAAGCAATACGGGTGTCTGCAATAGTAAGATGTTAGGCAGGCCAGCATAACATATCACTGCTGCAAGTAAATCTTGGTCTTCTGCTCTTTCTTCATATCATTGGTTTTCTTGAGTGAGTTTCCTATACTTTTCATGCCAATGGTCTAGTACCTCCTCCTACTCTTCTTAGATTGAAATGGGCTGGCCCCACCGCGGCTTTCCACCCGTACACAAAATCTTTACAAAACTAGGGCAAAGGGAGTCGATAGGTACTATAATGATAACTACTAATTCCCAAATAATGATAACTACTAATTCCCAAATAATGATAACTACTAATTCCCAACTAATGATAACTACTAATTCCCAAATAATGATAACTACTAATTCCCAAATAATGATAACTACTAATTCCCAACTAATGATAACTAAACAACATTTTATACTTTAAAATTTTCAATTTTTTACTTTACTTTTTTTTTAACTGTAACTACTTTGTTGTATTGGGTTGAGAATTATCGTAATGTGTATTTATGTGTAATTATTTATGCAAATAAATAAATATAAGAGTAGTTTTATTCAATTGATTTGTTTATGTATCAAATACTTCAATGTACTATTTGCATGTGTATAAGTATGTTTACGGTTACAAAAATAACAATGATGTAAATGAGACTTTTGTAATCTTATCTTTCCTTCCTCACTTAGGACAGTAATTTTCAAATCGTGATTGGATTGAAAGCTTTTCACTTATCCATAGTGACGCATAAGGAAAAATAATGAATAAACATAATTAAATTAAATGAATGAATAAGAAAACAACACCCTTTTTTTCTAGTTTCGTTTATTTTATCCTTTGACATATATGCATTTCTTATAAAAATGTTTAGATGAATACGGTGCAAAGCACCGAAAGCTCCTGAGAACAAAAAATAAAGTAAATGAGACTGTAGAGAAAAAAAAGGGTGTTTTCTTACTTTCTATATTTAAATTTTAAAAATCTTACTGAAGAAATAACCATATCCATCCTAAGCGAATGTACTTGCGTATCGACATTATAAACATCTTGGTAGATTGTTAAGCAAATAGGTGTCAGCGAATAATTAAACTTGGTTCAGTTTTCAAATGTCTCCATCCTTAACCGAAACTCGAGACTCTTTCGGACGTTGACATGCACCTGAATAGTTGATATATTATACCTTGTTTTTTTAAGAATTGGCAATAAGTTTTCAGTTAATATGGTCATGAACATACTCTATGTATGATATGAAACCAACAAAAAGGAATTAGTAAAATATAATAAAATATATTTTAGCTCAAACTGTTTTAACACATTCAAGAAATCTCTCCGAGTAATTTGAACCATCTACAATAAGATAAAAATCGATCGAGCCGTTCGTTCAAAAAATTGTTACATGTATTTCAGCAGATTTATTAAACCCATTTAGCATCAAGATTTGTTAGTATTTTGAGCCAAAGTTGTTTCAAAACACTCCATAGATTTCAAAAATTAATTTGAGCCAGAAAACCAATCGTTCATAAATTAGTCCAAACACATAAACCTCATTTCGGCTTTGACCTAGTCATGGTAAAACGTCTATGCACTTCAACATTTCTTGTAAATAAATAATTGTGTAAAATACTAGACGTTCTTTGGGAAAATATATATAAACACAATATTATGAAGTTAGTGTAATATGAGAGACAAAACACGCTAAAGCAATCATTTTTTGCTTGACTATAGTAATATAACCATATTGCATAATATAGTATTTGTAAGAATACTTTAGAATATTTCCAAAATTTTTAGCGCGAAAATCTGAATTTTGTAATTTGTTTCCAAAAAGGCCGAGGATTTGCAACATTGTACTACTTAGTATAGGGGAGTCAATGATAAAATAAAAGTTTATGTAAGTTGTTAATTAACTTCTACAATATCCAGAAAATGTTAAGCTTGAAATTCATCGAAATGTGAATTCCTTTCCCAAAATTGTATATAAAAAAATTATAATTCACCTCATAGGCCATCTAGACAAATTGGTTTGCAGGACATACAGGAATTCCAACTGTTGATTCGCCTGTTCTCGAGTTGAGTCGGGCCTCAGTGTTGTTTTGTGCCTCTACGAGCTATTTCGTAGCTATGGTTACAGTTATTAAAAATCTACAGATGAGTTGGATTGAAATTGAAATTATAAAATAAAAAATGACTTGATAGGCACAAGAAAATGCGGTACCCAGCCATACCCCTTCCGCGACTTTAATTTACTTAAATAATGACACCGCTTTATATTGATATTTTATCTCATTTGAAAGCAATCTCATTCCATATTTTTTTGTATGAAAAATTTGAATTTCCATATAGAAATCATCATTTATCTCTAGTTTCAGAGATATAGTTACTCTTTACTTAATATGTGGAAATTTCCTGATCTTGTGTTGGTTGGATTCATTTCTGTAAATGTATCGCGGAAAACGACTAGCTGTGAATCACTGAACCATTTTACTGGCAATTGTATGCAGTGTTGACATTTCAAGTTACTCTTGCGGTGATTTTTCTTGCTTTAAGCATTCTTATAACAATTTTGTCGCGATAACCCAGTAGTTTTGGTGAAGTTACAATACCCAGTGTGTTAATGCTTCTGACAACTTTTTTTACATTTGTGGGGAAGTAACAATTGTATTTCAAAAACGTCCTATCACCCAACTGATCAAGACAGCATACCACAAGTATTTTGGGGTGAAGGTTGGTGACCAAGATAAACCTTGGGCCCCGCACATCTGCTGCATCACATGTAGCTGAACGTTAAGAAAATGCTTGAACATGAAAGGTTCAACAATGCGTTTCGTTATTCCCATGGTACGGAGGTAGGGAATATACTAATCAAACTGACAACTGCTACTTTTGCATTACCCCTCCTCTTCATCATGAAATGTTTCGAAAAAAGAAATCTGAAGTGAAGTACCCTGACACTC